AAGAAAGAAAGAAAGAAAGAAAGAAAGAAAGAAAGAAAGAAAGAAAGAAAGAAAGAAAGAAAGAAAAAGAAAAAGAAAAAGAAAAAGAAAAAGAAAAAGAAAAAGAAAAAGAAAAAGAAAAAGAAAAAGAAAAAGAAAAAGAAAAAAGAAAAGGACAAGAAAATAGGAGGCAATGCCCAGGGGACAGCTGTGGAGTCATGGAAGGGAAGTACAGAGGTGACTTTCATTCCTTGACTTCTCACCCATGGAACAGGGAACTGGGTGTCTCCAGTCATAGCTTGTTGGCTCCCAGTGACCCTGCTAGCTCTTCAGCTCCATCATCAAGCCTACAGTGGTTTCCAGGGAAATCCCCAAATCAAAATGTGTCTTCATTTCTCCCGAGACCAGCCTTAGATCTACAGCTGGATTCTTGCGCCTAGCCGGGGTTGAAAGTTAAGAGTCCACCTCAGGTCAACACAGCCCCATCCCACCCCAGCAAAGTGTTCCATCTCTCCAAGCAAGCTCCTTGGGATTCAAGCCTGTTTTGAGAGTCCCCCCAACCAAGCAAACTTACTAACTGTTCAGTGTTTTCCCCTGGCCAGAAACAGGCTTCACATTAGAGAAAAAAATAAATTACTGAGTGTTTCGGTTTCACTTGATATACGTGCCTTTGAAACCCAACTAACTGCTCTACGGAAAGGGATGAAAACAACCTTTGAGAGCTCTACTGAGTCTAAGACACATTTTCCCCCTCACAACAGGAAGTGGAACCCATGAACTAGTCAGTTTCAAGACCTTCATGTGGCTTTCTCACCGGGGAGGTGAAAACATTAACAGCCGCTTGAGCGTTCTGTGAGACGATTCCAACTGTCACAGACATTTAGAGTCAAATAAGACATTCCTCCCAACTTACTTTCTTCCTGTTTAGATGTTATAGAGAAAACCGATGACTTTTTCTAAAAAATCTAAATTTTCCCTAAAATAGGTCTAAAATTTGAAGGAAATTCTCATGGAAAATACATGCATAGTTTTTATTGAAGAAAAGTGTACTTTTCCTTTGGCCTTGTGAAAGATGGCTCAAATGTTTCATCTGAGGGCCGAGTAGGTGGCTCAGTCCGTAAAGTGCTTGCTGCACAGCATGAGGACGTCAGTTAGGTGCCTAGAAATCGTGTTAAAGAGCCAGGTATGGTGGTGTGTTTATAATGTCAGCATTAGGGAGGCAGAGACAGGCAGATCCCTGGAACATGCCAGCCAGCCAGACCAGCCTACTCAGCGAGTTTCAGGCCAATGAAAGACTCAAATAACAAGATGCATTGTTCCGGAGGAATAATACCTGAAGTAGACCTCTGACCTCCACATATACATCTATGCACACATACACGCATACACACAAGCATGTTCAGTGATGTTGTTCTTTAGCAAACATTGTATAGTGATACGTAGACACTCTGGGTTCATTATTGTTGCTGTGGTAAAACACCATGGCAAAAGGCAACTTCAGAGAGAGGGGCTTATGTTAACTTATCATTTGACTTTAAGTCATCACTGTGAAGGAAGTCGCGATTACAGGAGCTTGAAGCAGCTGGTCACATCACATCCACAGTCAAGAGTAGAAATAAATAAATGCAGACATGCTCACTTACTTCCTTGTGCTCAGCTCACTCTTACACAGTTCGGGAACCCCTGCCTACAGAATGGTGCTGCCCACAGTGGACTGGGTCTTTCCACATCAGTTGACTTAAGGCAATCCCCCACATACATGCTCCAGGCCAGCCCAAGTAGATAATCCCTGATTGAGATTCTCTTCCCAGATAATTCTAGATTGTATTAAGTTGACAATTAAAGCTAACCATCAAAGTGGACAAATGATTTTTCGTTTGTATGACCACTGTCTTGCAGTATCTGTCACTTTCTGTGGTATATTCCTCACATGCCTGGCAGAATAAACTACCATTACTAAGTAACAAAAATCTCTGAGTTTCGGATTCCCCACAAATAACTGACATTTCCACTAGTATCCTTCTATATTGTTGGAAAACTAAACTCGACTTTTTAAAAGGAATTGTAAGGCATTTGGTTAGTAAAAATTTACCTGTGGAAATGCACTTAAACTTTGCTTAACTTTTTCAGAATACTAACCACTTAAACATTATGCAATATTGAAATATGGAAAAAAAACATCTCTCTGGTAGTGAATAATAGAGATAGGTAGTGAGACTTTGAGCTTGGGTATGATCTCCTGGAAAAGCTATAGAATGGCAAAGGCTAGGGATAAAGTTCTGAAGGAAGACCAACACATAAACAGTAAAGCAATAAAAAATGTCCCCTGAGCTAACTGAA